TGACATATCGAATTGAATTCATTGTCGTCCAATTTTAGTATCGACCAAATTGTATTTCTGTCATCATGGTTGTTGAAGTTTCGATGACGTATGTCGATGCAAAGGCACGGATGGTTCGTGCCATTGCAAAAGTCAGCGCCTTTGTCAAGGCTGCCGGCGAGTTTTCATCTGATAAAAATAGTCCTGGTAAACGAGCAAAAATTTCAGCCATGCTATTGGAGCTGAAAGAAATTCGCTTGACTGCAGAATCCGACATCCAAGTTATGGAGATTTCTGTTGGCTAAAAATTAGCACCAATTGAAGTGGTAGATAACTCTATTAGTCTCAAGCTCTCTGCTGAGTTTGATAATTTGTACTACGAGTTGGTTGCGTTTGCAGATGTTTATAACCTTCCATTGACTCAAATTGTCGACTCATCCTCTTGTCAGTCAGTACAAAATAATTCAGCCAGTTTCGGAAACCTCTCAACTTACAAATTTCCAACACGGAAGTTTCCTACATTTTCTGGACTTCTGACTGAATGGCAGGGTTTCGAAGATTTGTTCACGTCAATTCTATCCCATGCCCCAGCTGATCTTACGGACGTCGAGCGATTCGAGATTTTAAAAACTTCGCTGGAAGGTGAGGCCTTGACGCTTATCGCACATATTCCTTTGACATCGGTAAACTACCAAAAGGCTTGGGAAGTATTACGTTCGCGATACGGAAATAAGCGTGACTTAGCTCGTATCCATCTGGATGCTCTGTTATCCCCACATACAGTCAAGGCAAACGACGCGTCTTCAATTAAAACTCTAATCACATCTATTCAAGAGCACACTGCTGCCTTGGATAATTTGGACTTTATTACGAGGCAGTGGAGCCCAATTTTGGTCCACATATTTGAAAATCATTTGGATTATGACCTCCGAGCGCGTTGGGAGATAACTGTGGGTGACCGACATCAACCGTCGACTGCCGATTTTCTTGAATTTCTCAGAAGTCATGTACGATCCGCGGAAGCACGTGCTGGACAGTACTCGTCGAGTCTGACGTCGTTCACGTCTCAGCAAAAACCTCCTCAAAAATCATTGACTTCCAAATCTCGTCACCCGATTGCACCAAAGGTTCTAGCTGCTACTACCAGCTCATCCACCGTGGTTACCTGTCCATTATGTACAAAACCACATACGGTCCGAAAGTGTCCAACTTTTCTTTCAAAATCACCAAATGATCGTTTCCAGTTAGCCAAGACGCACCGTTTGTGCATAAATTGTCTGGGCACAGGACATGCTACTTCATTATGCCCTTCAAAATACAAATGCACAACTTGTGATCGGTCTCATAATAGTTTGCTTCACTTTGACTCAAAGGAGAAGCCTCCCTCCTCGTCCACGGTTCTCTCAGTAGACCAACCCGAGGCTGGTCAGAGTGCCAAAGCAATGATTGTCAGAGGACAGCCTCAGAACGTAGTCTTACTCTCAACTGTCCTACTCGATGTGGTCGCTGCTGATGGCACCCGTCATTCAATTCGAGCCCTGTTCGACAGTGGTGCTCAAGCGAGTTTTATAACTGAAAAAACTGCATGTGTGTTGATGCTAAAGCGACATCATTCGACAGTAGCCATTACCACGTTTGCCAGTAGTACAACATCCCCAGTCCGTGGTCAAACAACCATCACTGTGATGCCACGTGGCCAACAGGCACCGTCGTTTTGCGTGGACACTTACATCGTCCCACAAATCACAGGACCAACTCCACAAGCTCCTATTGTGCCGGGACAATGGAGACATATTCAAAACCTCTCCCTCGCTGATCCGTTATACCATCGTCCTCAGGCAGTTGATCTTTTGTTGGGGGCCGATATCTTGCCAATGCTACTTCTAAATGGAAAAGCCACAGGCCAGCCTGGCGAGCCCATTGCCTTCGAGACTGTTTTTGGTTGGATTCTGATGGGACCTATCGACATTAGTGCTCGGTCAACTGTCACCGCTATGTGTTTATCTGTTTCTGAAACTCTTGACTTGTCTATCAGGCGTTTCTGGGAACTTGAAGAGTTACCTGTTGTTCGCCATCTCAGTCCAGATGAGCGTGCTGCCGAGGAAATTTATAAAAATACAACAACTCGGCTGAGTACTGGACGGTTTATGGTATCTCTTCCATTTCGAAAAGCATCACCTCTGTTAGGTGATTCAAAATCTGTTGCCCTTCGCCGTTTCCAGGCACTCGAAAACCGACTGAACAATGATCCGAACCTTCAACGCCAGTACGCAGACTTCATGCAAGACTACCTGGACGCTGGTCACATGGAGCTGGTTCCACTCGAAAACACAGACAATGTGTTTCATTATTATATTCCGCATCATTGTGTACTTAGACCGGACAGTAGCACCACCAAGCTTCGTGTCGTTTTCAATGCTTCGTCTCGTACAAGTGCTGGGTGTTCCTTGAATGAGAGCATGTATACGGGTCCGAAGCTTCAGCCCGACATTCAAATTGTTCTTCTCCGTGCACGGTTGTGGAAATATGTATTCATGACAGACATCAAACAGATGTATCGGCAAATTGTGGTGCGGCCTGCAGATCGAGATTACCTGCGAATTTTCTGGAGATTTTCGAAAAATAACACAGTGCAGGAATACCGTCTCTGTACGGTCACTTACGGCACATCAGCGGCACCATATCAAGCTCTTCGTACAATTCAGGAATTGGCAATCGTTGATGGAAAATTATTTCCCATCGCTGCGTCAATTCTCCTGAACGACACCTTCGTGGATGATATTCTCACTGGAGCTAACACCGAGAAGGATGCCCTTGAATATCAGTCGCAGCTTATACAATTGTGTTCGTTAGCCAAGTTTGAGCTACGAAAATGGGCCAGCAATAACAGTAATATCTTACACGCTGTTCCCGCAGAAGCTCAAGCAATGTCTCCAGCACTCCTGTACAATGACAAAAATGAATGTGACTTAAAAATCCTGGGTTTGAAATGGGATCCGAGAGCTGACGTGTTTTCATTTGATACAAAACCATCGTCAACTGACCCGACAAAGCGGTCAGTTCTCTCTGACATTGCCAGAGTTTTCGATCCGTTAGGATTGCTGTCTCCCATTACGTTCTGGACAAAACACGTCATGCAGTTGCTCTGGACCGCTGGTCTCAAATGGGATGACAAAATACCCACAGATATTGCTCAAGTGTGGACCCGATATCAATCAGAACTGAAATTGATTGAATCGATCTCTATCCCTCGTCGTATAACAGTTGAAGAAGCTACCACAGTGCAACTTCACGCTTTCTCGGATAGCTCAGAGAAAGGTTACGCGGCGGCAGTTTACCTTCGAACACAAACAGCTACTTCAGCTTATTGTCACCTTGTAACAGGTAAATCTAAAGTAGCACCTCTAAAAAAGTCTACTATCCCACGTCTTGAGCTGTGTGGAGCTGTATTAGCCGCCAAACTATTACGTTTCGTTGCTGATACTTACTCGAAGAGTCTTCAAATCGATGAGCTGCATGCTTGGACGGACTCAACCACTGCGTTAGCTTGGATACAATCGTCACCACATCGTTGGGCCACGTTCGTGGCAAATCGAACAAGTCAAATTCATGAATTCACCTCACCAGACATTTGGCATCACGTCCCCACGCAGCACAATCCGGTTGACTGTGCCTCTCGTGGACTGTTCCCGTCGGAACTTGTTGATCACCCGTTGTGGTGGACAGGCCCTGCGTTCTTGGTAGAATCACCGGAACATTGGCCAACCGTTGTCCCTCGTTCAGACAACACAGATGCTCATGTTTCCACTGAAGCTCGAAAATGTACTGTTTTCCTAACCAAGACTACATGCTCAATAACTGATGTGATGCATCGTTTCTCGTCGTTCGATAAAATTCTTCACATTGTCGCCTACTGTCTTCGTTTCTCGAAATCACGTCCTTCTGCATTCACACAGATTGTTAATGCGAGTGAACGAGAACGAGCCTTGTTGGGCTTAGTGTATTCTGTCCAACAAACATCATATTCCGAAGACATATCTTCGTTAAAAAACGGACTGCGTTGCTCCCCTGCCATTAGGAAGTTGGATCCTTTCATTGACGAAAATGGACTTCTCAGAGTGGGCGGGCGTCTCACGAATGCTGATCTTCCGTACTCTCACAAACATCCACTTCTCTTGCCATGTCAAAGTCGATTAACGTTGTTACTCATTGACTATCATCATCAGCGACTGAAGCATCCCGGATGCGCATCCCTTCAAGCGCATCTACAACGTGAATTTTGGATACCGTCTGTACGGAAGATTATTCGATCTCGGATACGGCTCTGTATCTCGTGTTTCCGCACCAGGCCCCGTGCTGTTCAGCCAAAGATGGCCAGTCTGCCGAGTTTTCGGGTGCAGCAAGTGAAACCGTTTGCAATAACCGGAGTGGATTATGCTGGACCAGTCACGTTAAAGGAAGCACGTGGACGAAGGTCGATTCCAAAGACAGCATACATTTGCCTGTTTGTTTGTACCACCACAAAAGCGCTCCATTTAGAGCTGAGTTCGGATTTGTCCACAGAATGTTTTCTGATGGCATTTACTCGATTTTCTTCCAGACGCGGACCCATCAAGGAATTACACAGTGACTGCGGGACAAATTTCGTCGGAGCGTCACGATTATTGACACCCCTACATCAATTCACTCATTCGAAAAGTTTTCAAGACAGTGTTCATCAGCACCTCGCTAAACACCAAATAACTTGGCACTTCAATCCTCCCGCATCTCCCCATTTTGGTGGTTTGTGGGAAGCCGGAGTAAAATCCGCAAAGTCATTAATTCTTCGGTCCATTGGATTGCACAAATTGACAAGTGAGGAATTTTTGACACTTCTCACTCAAATAGAGGCAACATTGAATTCTCGCCCATTGTGTGCTATCAGCAACGACCCTGGTGACTTACAAGCGTTGACGCCCAGTCATTTTTTGACTCTTGAACCTTCCACCTCGCTTCCAGAACCAAGTCTTGTCAATCAACCTATGTCAAAGTACCAGCGATGGCGCCTCATTACTGATTTACATCGTCATTTCTGGACCAGATGGAAGAACGAATACCTCAGTAGTCTTCAACTTCGTAGAAAATGGACAGAACCAGGTCAAAACTTGAGCGTTGGCGAGCTTGTCCTCGTGAAAGAAGCGACGCATCCTCTTCAGTGGCGGATTGGACGAATACGTGAACTCCATCCTGGCTCCGATGGGACTTCCAGAGTGGCCACTTTAGAAACTACTTCTGGACCATTGACACGCCCAGCTGTCAAGCTCTGTCCACTCCCAATGTCTTGAAGGAACATTCCTTCAAAGTGGGCGGTGATGTTCGCGCCAAGCAATTATTGCTTATCGCGGGACGCTAATCTGCGCGACGGCGACATCTTCCCTCCTCTTCCGTCCACTCATCCAGTATCTCTTGCCGTTACTATAGAGCAACGATTATGCAAATTATAATAATTGTACGATTGTTATACTTCATATTGTATATACTCTCTTTGTTTTTCTTATAAAAATTATCTGTCGGCCTTTTGCCTCAGACAACTGTTGTCAATGTTATCTCTATGAGATAAAACTTTTGTTTTTGTTATTATTATTGTTGCGGCCAACGCCCTTTTTTTGTATTGTTATTATTCAATTATTCAATTATTATTCGTGTTTTTTGGTCCGCTATTACAGCGTCCATACGTTTTGTTTGTTTTTTATACTGTGTGATCCGCTCATATAGCGATCATTATTATTATTATAATTCATATAAATATTATTTGTTGTGATCTGCTAGTATAGCGATCCGTGAATGGTGTGTGTGGTCCGCTAGTAAAGCGAGAACAAAATAATTTCATTATATTTATTACAATAAAAAATACGATCTTCAACAAAAATTCGTAAGTCTAATTTATCATTATCTCTCTCGTCATCATCTTTGGCAGCTCGTTGTTGTCACCGTCGGTGCCGTCAGATTCCGCGCGTAAGTCCGCCAGCAACGTAGGTCTGTACGTTGTGTGAGAGGCCGCCCCAGGTCGTCCAGGTCGACAAATGCCAACAGCGTTAATCCAGTGGGTCATCTCAAGACTGCAGTAGGGTTAAGGTAGTTTTAAGTTTTATCCCTATTGTTGTGAGCTCTGTGGTCATTGCACCAAACCGAATCGGCCACAGAGACCCCCTCCCCATAACTAACCTGCACCATTCTCACTCCTACAAATAGGTCTTTCCCATCCTCGTCATTGTCGTCGTCGTGCGTAGAATTGCCTACCCACCAACTATCAGGCGAAAGCACCTAAGGTTGCCTATCAACCACAATAGTAGGCGATAGGAGTGATACAGGCAACGTCTAACACTCTCCTGATCAACAAATTGTTCTCGGGCATCACCGAGTGGTCCTTCGACTGTTACGGTTAAACTCTCGGGCGTAAATCAAGATAATTTATATATAGGTAGTGTACCAATAATTACTCTACAATTCAATATTTTAGACTGCCGTCGATGGTTACCTCGTTTGAGATGTTACAAACAAATCCACCAAAGCACGTACCATAGCTAAGCAAATGCCAATACCTCTAGATTCTATACCAGTGGTTTTCAAACTTTTATTAAACACGGCACACCGTGCTTCTCAATAAATTTTCACTGCACAGTGACTTTTTTTTTGCACTAAATAATTGGATGAACAAAATTGTTTTGAATTATAATTATATATGTACCTGCATTTAATTAGAAATGTGTGCATTTTTTTATAATTTTATTCTTGAACAAATAGTTGAACTATCCGAAAGACCTCAGTGAATGCTTGCGGCACCCAGTTTGAAAACCAATGTTCTAGAATGGTTTATTGTTAAAATAAATAGAATTCACTGATATTGTGACATAAGGCACATGAACGTAAAAAAGATTAAGTACCTATAAACAGGTAAATTAAAAAATATGTTATGTAAAATTTTGAGGAATATTATAAGATACAATTAGGTTTCTATCAGCATTTGAAAATAAATTAAAACCTTTACATCTTAAGACCATTACTATAGTATCATTATAGTTCATGGTTGTACTGTACTTGAACATTTATACATACATTGAAGGGTGCATAATTATTACAATACATGCATTATACATAATAAATAACAGAGGTCGGCTAAATTCTTTGGTACATATAATATTATATTACTATACAGTTATATTAACTAGACATTAGTATGTGTTTAGATTAATATTAATATAATTTAATTTTGTTAGAGATATGATATACTAAATATATATTACAAAATTCTTCATAATTATGGGCAGTATATTGAATGCTCTACAGGTACAGAAGACTCCTTCACAAATTTCACTCATTATCTGCAAATTATTAATATTAATTAGTATTGTATTTTTATAAAAAAAAATCAGTAGGTAGTTAATGTAGTACCTACCCCTACCTATACGGATAATAAAGGTATGAATTGCAATTAATACAATATGTATAGGTATGGTATGTTGAAATAATATATTAGTAATATATATTATTACCAATATATAACGTGATAACGGTATAATATAATACCATGTAGTAAGATTCCTGACGGTTGACAAAATGGTTGGTAGGTACTATTGTATTATTATTGAGTAAAAAACGTTTATTTGGTGTAATTTTTCCAAACAATAAAAATTGTAAGTACAGATACATTTAATTTCAATAGAATACTCCAGTGACTACTAATGTAAATAAGTATATCATAAATTTGTGTTCATTAAAAACAACCCATCAATTTGTTCACCGGTGGTTGGATAGTTTAAAGTTGCTCTCATCAAAGAACTGCATAATGATAGATGTCAAAGAATAAACTGACTTAATATAAATAAAGTGGCATATATTTCAAAACGTTTTTGAAAATAAGACCAAAGTTGTTTTCATTGCAAGGTTTGAATAAACTGTCGAACGATAAATACTAAACTAAAGATTTAGAACATCATAAAATAGAGAACGTATAAGAACAAAAACCTATATTATTTTCAAGAAAATATGTTAGAATAATGTTGACTAATGTAATGGAACCATATTATATTTTAAATATTATATATTAATTTATTTTTATTTTTTTTATATTTATTGTATATGTATAGCCATAGGTAAGTTACCACAAAATTAAAATGTGACGTAAAATATAAAGTTAATAGTTTGTTTAAGTTTTTACAATCATCATAACATCATTGCCATAGATGTGAAACTTATATACCAGTGGTCTTCTAAAAACGGTGGGTTGCGATCCATTTTTGGGTCTTGCAAGATTTGAAATTTCTTCTTTTTAAAATAAAAATTAAATTTATAAAATTATGTACCTAAGGTAAGAAAATAATTCAAATTAAATTGATTGTATCATATTTTTATTTAATTTTATTACTTCATATAAATTCTATACATTTTCAATTAATAATAATTAAATATTCTACCTACTAAAATGTAATTTTTCTTTATTCAGTTTTAATAGCACTACTGCAAATTATTAAGCATATTTAGCTTTTATTAAAAAAGCTTACGTGGGTCGCAAAAAATGTAGGCCTAAAAAAGTGGGTCGCAAGTCCAAAAAGGTTGAAGACCACTGCTATATACTATAATATAATATGTGTTAAACATGTTGACATGTATTGTTCACACTGTTAGTCATTAGGTATTATTAAAATACATATTTCTGTACTTTTACCAGGAGTCCGGAGACCAAATATTTTTAGTCATTGGATATGTGACAGTAACACTTTTTTAAAATTAAAAATTGTTTTCATTGGAAATGACACATGAATACATATTCAACAATATTACATTACCTTTTATTGTATACCTCTTAAATAATAAATTCATTGTCGATATCAACATATTTAATTAAATAGGGAAACATATTTTTAATAAATTAATTGTTTTATACAATTTTCAAAAGCTAATTAGGTTTGTAAGAAAATACTCAAATATACCAAACAGGCATAAAGATTTATACAATTATAACTACCTAATATAAATGTTTGCCTATAGTAAATTATTTTTTTTTTTTTTTTTGTTAATAGGATGGTGCATAATATATTAATATTATACTGATAACTTGTAATAATACGTAAGTCGATATCGGCGACTCGTAATGGCGGGTAGGTAATAAAAACTTTAGTTGTACATAATATCATGACAAATTAGATAGTTACATAGTTACATAGTAACACTTAGTTATGTGTTTTTGGTGTGATAGAATATACACATAATTTTGCAAGCGTTATCACCTAAATTGGCGTTTTAAATATATTTTATGTGATACTCAGATCATAAATCATATTAAAATAGGTAGTCTACTAGTACTAGTCTGTTATAGTATAATACTATAGTCTATAATATATACAATCTGAAATCAAGATAATATTATATATAAGGTAGTGCACCATAATAATTACTCTACAAATTCAATATTTGTAGACTGCCGTCGATGGTTAACTCGTTTGAGATGTTACAAACAAATCCACCAAAGCACGTACCATAGCTGAGCAAATGCCAATACCTCTAGATTCTATACCAGTGGTTTTCAAACTTTTATTAAACACGGCACACCGTGCTTCTCAATAAATTTTCACTGCACAGTGACTTTTTTTTTGCACTAAATAATTGGATGAACAAAATTGTTTTGAATTATAATTATATATGTACCTGCATTTAATTAGAAATGTGTGCATTTTTTTATAATTTTATTCTTGAACAAATAGTTGAACTATCCGAAAGACCTCAGTGAATGCTTGCGGCACCCAGTTTGAAAACCAATGTTCTAGAATGGTTTATTGTTAAATAATAGAATTCACTGATATTGTGACATAAGGCACATGAACGTAAAAAAGATTAAGTACCTATAAACAGGTAAATTAAAAAATATGTTATGTAACATTTTGAGGAATATTATAAGATACAATTAGGTTTCTATCAGCATTTGAAAAATAAATTTAAAACCTTTTACATCTTAAGACCATTACTATAGTATCATTATAGTTCATGGTTGTACTGTACTTGAACATTTATACATACATTGAAGGGTGCATAATTATTACAATACATGCATTATACATAATAAATAACAGAGGTCGGCTAAATTCTTTGGTACATATAATATTATATTACTATACAAGTATATTAACTAGACAGTAGTATTGTGTTTAGATTAATATTAATATAATTTAATTTTGTTAGAGATATGATATACTAAATATATATTACAAAATTCTTCATAATTATGGGCAGTATATTGAATGCTCTACAGGTACAGAAGACTCCTTCACAAATTTCACTCATTATCTGC